AGAGAGAGAGAGAGAGAGAGAGAGAGAGAGAGAGAGAGAGACGACAGACGGACGACAGACGGACAGACGGAGACAGAGCGAGACAGAGAGAGACAGAGAGACAGAGAGGAGGACATATATCTTTTGGTTCTAGATCGACTTTCTCTCCTCCTCTACTTCTTGTTCTACACTGTTTATCAATAATTGGCCAGGGAGGAGTTTGTCAACACATGGCTCTCCTCCTCTAGGACTCCATCATGAGTGTGTGCATTGCTGACTTGCATAACTCTGACCTCTCCATGTGTACAACGAGCTTGGGGCCTGTCCCTGTTGAGTCTTCGGCTGCAACAACTGTTGCACTTGCCTTCAGCTAATGCATCCTTCACTCATGCAACCCCAGCGGCATAGAACTCACTCGTTTTTACCACCGTTGATTTATTTCAATTCCACTCCTTGAGCTGGTCTACAAGGGGGCTGCTGTTTGGTTTGGTCTTCCTGCCCACATAGGCCAACCGTTGGCCAGAGTCCACATGATTTCAGCAAATACGGTCGGGCTCAAACGAGGTTCCTCAAACTAGCATTTGAAAGAGTAGTGTTTAACAGACGGCCTTTTCCAAGCCATGCTTGATGCTCATTGTGATCTGTGCTTGGTGTGGCACATGACAAGCACAATGCACAACACCAAATAAATGAATACCACACAAATGTGCTGTTCTGGATGTACTGCAAAGTCAGGGCATTCTATTTGCTTTAAAAGTCAAGGCATTCATTATCTTGGAAGTTTGGGCCAAATAGAGTACAGGGCCTAAGCGTCATGTTTGGGAGAAGACAGTATTGCTCACAAAAGGAACGCAGGTTTATTCAACTCGGATAAAGGATATGAAAAAAATAGCATTCAAAGAAAAAGACGCTAGCTTTTATGGTTTAGGTTATTGCCTGGGTGAACGCGAAAGGAAAGGATGATGACACTCACTATCACTGTTGCCTCTACTTCCCCCTGCACACAAGTTGAGCCCCATTGTGCTTCTTGGCCCTCATACAACGTCACAGGCATGGACTCTCCTGTTAATGACGATGTATCGACATCAATTGTTCCCTCATTTACCTGCAACGCAGCCCACAAAAGACACAAAATCCATGAATCAAGAAATCATCTAATGTGGCTATGGTGGACTTGAAGCTGGACACCATCTTGAGTAGACCTGGATTCGGGTTTGGGACCTTGGGTACCATCCAGAATTTCTTTTGTTTTCGTATGCTAAAACAATCTCCCATCTATCTTAAGCTAAAACAATCTCCCATCTATCTACGGAGACATGCCTTGCAACACTGCACAAGTTTCTTTTCTGTGTATTTTTTATACAACCTTTTGGAAACTTTGAAATTCTGAACTATGTATGCTTTCGATTAACCAGGACAGTGCACCATCACCAAGCCGGTTCACACAATGAATGAGATCGTAACTATGATATTCATAACAGACTCATCAATCAAACAAATCAAATCAACCAAATCAATCAGTTAATCCGTTGACAAAACCAACCACTTGACCAATCAATTGATGAATTTCTGAAAGAGTACATCAAGCTGTAAAATGACCCACACATACAGATATTACAGAGTCCGTAATTTCCATTTTGCATACTCCAACACTGAACTGAAGCAAAAAAGCAAGGAATGCTGTCAATGATATCTTTGAAATTATTTGTAAATGTTGTAAGAAACTCGTAATATTTTTGTCTTTATTTACTTTTGGGAAGCTTTTGGCTCCAATCGCATAAGCTTCGTCTTTGAATTCCATGGAGTGCAGTGGGAACCGGACATGGGCCAAAGGGGCAACCGACTGAAGGATGCAAAACATCTGCTTTATAGAAATTACAGATGGTTTTCCAAGCCATACAAGAACCCACACAAACAGAATCTGCCTTGTGGCCGAATTGTACACGTGTAACTGTTAGTAAACAGATTGCAAGTTCAAATCTTCATGGATTCAAACTTTTCACTGTGTTAGGCGCTTACCCCTCAGAACCAAAAAAAAGGGGCCCCCTGCCTCTTTACAGAACCCGTGATTTTCGATTTCACCAATACAAGATGGAGCTGAAGCAGAAAACAAACAAAGTGTGTCAACTCTGTCAAGCAATGCTTGAGACGGGTATGATAATCATATCATGATTAGAAGCTGCAGGTTTTCAGTTTATTATAGCACTAAACCATAGGTGCCATTATTTCCACAGAGACACGGATCCCAGAGCATTGGGGCTGTTCTTACAGCCTCATCAAGTGCCTTCACCCTTTAGTAACTCCACCCTCCACATGCCTGTCACACAACGAGCACATGCGCTACCCGGCAGCCCCACACCGACACAAAAAATTTGTCTCTAGCTGTGTAGCACCATGTTCGGGTTCAGTGGCTGAACACGAACGTTCGGTGCCGAACACAAATGTGGGCCAAAAACCACCGAACCCAAAACTTTTTCTTTTCTTTTTTTTTTTGGGGGGGGGGGGGGGGGGGTTGCGGGAGGCATTGCCCATCTGTCCTGAGCACAGGTGCGCACACACACACAGACGGTGGTTGCCACAAGGCAACCACGGGCAGGACAAGGGAATTGGGAGGACGGCGAGGAGGACCTTGATTGGTGTCAGGATGCAGGAGGGGTCCTCGATCGGGGAGGGGAGTGGAAAGCGGTCGAAGGGGAATGGAGTTGGGGGAAGAAGAAGAAAAAAGAAAAGAAAATCTCTCTCTCTCTCTCTCTCTCTCTCTCTCTCTCTCTCTCTCTCTCTCTCTCTCTCTCTCTCTCTCNTCTCTCTCTCTCTCTCTCTCTCTCTCTCTCTCTCTCTCTCTCTCTCTCTCTCTCTCTCTCTCTCTCTCTCTCTCTCCCCAACTTGGATCGCTCGCTCTCACTTCCTGAATACACTCGCCTAACCCACTCGCTCCGCCTTCTTCCACCCTTGCGGCTACGGTCGCCGTCTTCTCCGTTGTCTACCCTAATTTTAGATGCCCGATCGGCCTTCGTCTTCCTCCTCAACCAGACTGTCCAACCCAATGGTCGCACAAGCGCTACGACAGGGCTTCCGCAACATGCGGATTGACAAATGACCCGATGTTGTACTGTGGCAACTATAAATAGCAGCAGTTGGAATCGTTGTTGGCTTCAAACCGGTACCGGTTATCGCCGCCTGTGGGCTGCATATTGCCAATTTTGAAACTTACTGAACTTTCCCAAGATGCTGCTCCGAAAATGGACTTCTGGCCCGCAGACTTTCCCTGTTGGTACCAGGCCTATGACTTCTAACGACCTGACTCTCAGACCCTATGGGCCTACAACGCTTCAAATTTTAGACCCTACAGGACGCCTTGGACCTTCTAGCTGGGACTTATTGGGACCAGCTGGGGCTGATCCTAGGTGGGACTTTGGGACCAGGACTCAAGACATGGACACAGCGTGAAATCCTTTCACTCCTGCCGGCCTAATTTCGAGGTCCTTCGAGAAAAATCTTATTTTTATCTATGCACTACATTCTCTCCCCTTCTAGCCCGCTCATAGTACGAAATGATATGAGGGGCAGTCTCCCTCAACTCACCTCTCATGTACCAACGGTCATCTTCAGGTTCATGGTACTGGAACAAGATGTTGTACTGTCGTTGCAGCCTACACCTTCTGCCAGATCTATATGTATCTTAATCTAGACTATGATCAATGGCATACTTTCCATCCATGCCTGGCCGAATCATCAATCTTCGTGAGGGGAAGTGATCGTAGCAATAACTTTGATGCATGGAATACGGGGTAAGTATCCAGATGGGCTGGGATATCGACTGTATAGGACAGACCATCTGGATCTCCCTTGATGTCTAGGAGTTCCCATGGTCCACAATACGTGGTTAGCAACGTTTCAGAAATTCCCTCTTCAGGGAGGAACTCTTTCGCCTGGACCCAAACTAGATCTTCAACTGCAAAGCAATACGGTCTGTGATGATTGTTTGCCTGTTCTACCACCTGATGTTGGGCCTCTTGGATGTTCTCTCCAACTCTCTGCAGGTCCCTTTCGTATTGCAGCTCTAGTGCCTGGTGGCAATGGACGCCATCCCTTGTGCCTTCGTTCGGCGTGCACAAATTCACGAAGTGCACAAAGTTGTTATAGGCACTTGCTACCTTGGCTAAATGTTTGTCCCAATGATCTGATCTGGTCTAATATACATGTGCAGCACCTGTTGATCTGATCTGGTCTAATATACATGTGCAGCACCTGTTGCAGCAACTTGGTCATTTGTTCAGTCTGACCGTTTGTCTCCGGGTGTCTACAACATCACATATTCAGTTTTGACCTCTAGACTTTCATCAGTTGTTGCCAGTGTTTGCCTGTAAATCCAATATCGCTATCATTTACTATTGTCAACGGATGCTTGTAGTCTTTCACCCAATGGTTAAAGAACTCTCTGATCACTTGACCTGTCTTAGCTACAGGTGGCAACGGAATAAAAACAACAAATTTACTAAATCTATCCATCACTGCCATGACCTGACTCTTTCCACTTCGACTCTTAACCTTTGTGTCAATGAAGTCAATAGAGACTGTCTCCCCAGGGCCTGATGGTATAGGCAGTGGTTTCAGCAGCCCGAGTGGGGGTTGTGTGGAACTATTGCTCCGCTGATAGACTTTGCAGCCCTAGACATACATGTTTCATACCTACCCAGGTGTACGATTGTAGGAGGGTTGATCTAAGTCTTCCTCCAACCGAAATGCCCTTCGAAATCAAGACACTCTCCCAAAGTCAGACTGTGAACTTCCTCATCATTCCGGATACACAGGTGTTCATCTACAACCGCCTTCTCGAACAGTAATCCATCAGCCATGCAGTATTCTAAGACTTCATATGGGGTTTCTTTCACCTTGCGTATGATCTCACTAAGATGCCTATCATTCTAGTACGCATCCTTAATCTTCTGTTGCAGTTCAGTGCCTGCGTCGAGGAAAGTAACTATGGCTCCAAAGAATTTGGCCCTCTACTCAGTGCCTTGGCGACAACATTGTACCTGCCTCTGACTGGATTCACTTCAAAGTCGAACTCGTTTATCTCTGTAGCCCACCTAGCAACTTTGTAGACATACAGGCCTGCGTCTTGAGCCAGCAAAGTATCCCATGATCTGAGTACACTTTAAAGTGTAGTCCTAATAGGTAGTGTCACCAATGGGACACGACCTCTCTCGATGTAAGCATATCTCTTTCGCACAGAGATGCAGAAACCTTTGCACAAGGCAATCTTCAAGACATAAACTCTACGGGCCGACAACCATCTTCATCATTGTGTTGAAGTCATACTTGCGGCGCACTTCTGCGGTGCGCCATGCGCCGTGCGCAAATTGGTGATGCGCTGATTTTATTTTTTTATTTTTTTAGGGATGTGTACACAAACACACACACACACACACACACACACACACACACACACACACACACACACACA